CTCTCCCAAGAATCCCCCCAGACTGAACCCCCAGCTCCCAAAGTCCCCCAGCCACAACAGTGTGAATTCCTCAGGGAGGTGCCAGTCTCATCCTCTTGTTCCTCCCACACTCTTCTGGGGAGCTAAGAAAGTGCTTATCTCCCTGAGCCTGGCCTTCATAATTCCATTCCATCACAACTACGGAGCCACGGGTTACGTTCCACCAAGCCATCCCGGGCCTCCTTCCCGTGGTCCACAGCCCAGTATTACAACGAAGAGTTGCTTCTGCAGATCGGTGTTAGAAGTTGCCCTGCTTCCTCCTGTCCTCGTGTGACCCTGATCCTGGACCCACGAGCCTCCCTGCCTTCCGGCCCATCGGGGGCCATTCTGGGAAAGACGCTCAGAGGTTCCCCTTTTCAACTCTGGTGGCGAGAGAACCACTCCTGGTCACTAGAGTTGGGGTCTGGAAAAGCCACAGCTTCCCGTAAGCTTTTTCCAGTTTCCTCAAAGGGAAGCTAGAGAAAGCTGACGTAAAGCGACTGAAGCGGGGAGGCAGTGTTATGCTGCTGGCTGTGGATGATGGGGAGTTTTCCAGGGGAACTGTGGGGTTCTAGCTTGAAAAGGCTGAAATGTTGAAAGCCAAAGGCCTTCCCAGCTGCTCACTGGCTTCTGGGGTCGTCACCCAGCTAAACCCATGAAACCCTCCCAGTTTTGGGGGGAGGGTCTTCTCTCGCTGCAGAGGGGGAAAAGACCCTCTTTGGATTCCGGATCTTCTCTCCCCCTGAGCCTTGGTGAGCAGACCAGCTCCTGAATGAGCTGTCGGTCACTGTTCTGCAAGGTGGCATCCTAGTTCTCCAGGTTTGTCTGTGGCTGAGGTGCGGTTGACAGCTTCGGGGTGGAGTCCATGTTCCATTTTGCTTATGCCTCTGGATAAAACGGGGGTATGGCTGGGCTGATTGCGCTGTTTTCTTTCAAGCAGACAATTGCGATTTGTACTAATAATTAGGAGTCAAAGGGGACAGCAGTGTTAGAAAAAATGTGCAACGGGCGAGTTTGCATTGGACAAAATCGTGCTTCTGTCTTGGTGAGAAAGCTGAGGCCGCTTTTCACACCTGGCTGGGTTAACCATGATTTCGAAGCTCCCTCATGGCTCAAGAACATCAGGACTGCCATGTTGGCACCAAGAAGTCCATCAAAGCTAGTATATAGTGCCTCCATCTGTGGCTAGATAGCTGCCCCAGGAGAGTTTCAAGTAAGGGGTGGCCTTCCACGTTGACCCAAAGGACTCCGCACCCCATGGAGCTGCCCCTCTTCCTGGGGGCCAGCAAGCTCCCTTTGTTGAAGGTGGGCTTCCCCAGAACCTGGGTGTGCTCACTTGCCTTCCACCACAACCCACGCCAGACCCATCCCCGTTTACAAACAGCTCTGGAAGATGGGGGGACCCCCCCGTCCTCCCCAGCTTCTCCGGCCCCTGAGGTCCAGCCCTGCTCCGCGCAGACACTTTTCGGGTGGGGTGCCCACCAGCAGCCTCCCTGCTCCTTCTGCGGAGGCATCCCCCCGCGGTTTGCAAGGGGGTGTGTGGAGGCAGGGCTGGGAACTGCCACTGGCGCTCCTCTGAGGCACCGGGCCCCATTCTGCAGGGGTCACGGGAGCAGGCTGGGTGCCCCCCCACGCCCCTTTCTTTCAGGGATTGCTAACAGATG